CACAAACTGTTGTTCAATGACTTAATTTCTCACCCTGTGGGCAGAACTGTGACTCATACTTCTGAGTTTCTTTCATGTAATAAATGTAAAGTCCTCTTGTAACTACATGAACTTGTCCATAAGAGGCTTGGGGGAGCACAATAATATCGAAGTGGTTTTCCACTGTCTTCTTCTGAGATGCTTTTTCACTTTCCAATTTAGTTTTCAGTCCTGGGATCTCATAGCCACACACTAGTTAGGACTGACCCTATTTAGATTTTCAAGGTCAGCTAGGCAACGCTGTGACATTTTACTTTAATGCAAAAAAAATGTGTATGAGTGCAAACTTTCATGTATGCATGTGTGTATGTGTTCATGGAAAATCTAGCAATGTAAACGTTTAAGGTGTGAACGCTTAAAGTGTTTCACTGGTACAGGTGCTAAACAGGTAACTAAATTAGCTTTACAGAATACACCTTGTATCATTTATACAGAACACCAACATATTACAGTCCAGTGTATGTCTATTCAAAATAAGTGCAACCACTTTTTGGAACGCCAGAGAACAAAAAATATGGACCAGAAACAAAACATTATTAGGAAATTTGGGTCCATGACTACTTGAGTAATCTTTCCCCACATTGCTGACTACATGTGTTTGACTGCAACAGCCATGAGTTGAAGAAAGCTGATCACTTTCACTCTAATGAAAGCTGATATTCCCTTACTTCCACCCAGCAGCTGATTGAGGGACTTTTAATAGTGAAGAATATGCATGCTAACAGGCTTTTTGAAGTAATGCCTTTCAATTGTATAGTCAGTCCTTATTCATCTGGTTAAAGAACCACTATTCATTGACTCCAGGAGATTGAATCAGAGATAGGACAGTCCCTAGTCCTTTGAAGAAGATGGAAGTAGGGTTGCTTCTACAGAAGCATGGTCTAAGCTTCAATGACCAGTGTCAGTTCTTGCTATGTCTTCAATTTCCTAATTCTAGGTAAAGTGCTCAAATGGGTAGAAGGCACTCAACTCCAGACATTCTTGATGTTACAGGTTGCATGGGCTAATTTGTATCTGGCTTCTAGCCCGGTTTGGGTACTATTGACTTCCATAAATATCTTGTTTGATAAACATCAGAAAGATGGCGGAAAAGTAAACTCTTCTGATTTTCCTCAACCATTCTCTGGCTCTAAATAGTTTAATTGCAATACTGTTCTGGAACTTCTGCTTCAAATGGATATGGTGGCCTTATATGCTGGTGGCCCTGATCCTGCTTTGTGGGAAGATTCCAGTTTGGGATGGAAAGCTATTGCTGTGCCCCTCGGCATTTTGTGGGATTCTTCTTCGTTTAACTCCCTGTGAATATTTAGCATCTAAATAATATTGTTAGCAGAAATCTTCTAGGGATTCAAAGTAAGCTATCATCAAGATGTGGTTAATATCTTACTCTATTGCTCTTTTTCAGCAAAAATATTTTCTTCTTCTGGCTAGAAAAAGGAGTTACTTGTGCTGTTTAGTCTACATGATTGGATTCCAGAATGAAGTGTTACAATGTCTGTAAGAATCCCTTTTCTATAATACCCTTATATTTGCATGGAGTAGTGAGCACATAGGGGGTGTGGCCCTGCTCATGGTGCAATGCACACTGACTAGCTCTTTCCTTTGCATTTGCACAGACAATATGAACATCTGCAGGGAGGAGCTTTAGCAAGCTTCTGTGAAATCCGAAACCCTGCACTACAAAGCTTCTGGATGTTGGGCAAGCCTTTCTATGCATAGCTGTGTGTACAAATAGTGTGTTCCCACAAATGTTTGACTTAAAGTTGTTGATACTGGAGGGGGATACAAATCAGTGCACACTGCATCAAGCATAGGACTATATGGTTTGGCCCAATTTCCTCTTGCATTCACCCAGGCGACGAAGAGGACTTCTGAATAAAACAATTGCAAAGGAAAGATATTTGCAGATACCCCAAACATTCATTCTAAATGCTACTTTTCTTGGAGGCTGAATTAGCACCTGCTTCCAGACCGAAAGGGAAAGCTTTTCCTACTGCGGTTTTCTCTGCTAAATCATAGAGGAGCTTGGATTTTAGCCTACTGAGGCCAAAAACATGTCACTTTTACTTCACCATGCATTCTGGAACGTATTTTTACTATATTTCCTTTGCTAGTCTTTCCTCTACATTTGAAAGTTCTGAATGTTATCAGTCCCTGATCCCTGATAATTTTGATGTTTTTCTGCACACACCTCCCCCCTTCTAACCTTCTGCAATGCCTTTTTTGAGGTGTAGTGACTAGAACTCATTGTATCTCAAGCTGGTATTTTGCACGAAAGCGAGGCATTTGAATTATCCCTGGCTATTCCCAAGATGCTTATTCATATAATTATATTTTGTAATATGTAGAGCTGGATGTTGTCATCCTCTAGGTTATACTGCAGTTTCATGGAAACCCACTTCTTTAGTATAATAAGCCATCTGAGCACATCACTCAAACTAGTGTAAATTTCCGCTTTGGCCCTGCATGTGTTGATGACCATAGTGTGGAGAAAAGGAGAGGCCAACCTTTCCTCTTGCTCATCGCTTCTATTTTTATTTGGGTGATGTGTGCTGGCTTCTTCTTGGGCTATGGAACAAAGTGCGTGTGTGTATGTATGTGTGTACATGTGTGTGTATTGGGGAGGAGACATGCTGAAGCAAATACCAGCCTGTGATTGTAATCTTCCCTGCCCAATGCCAGAATGCTATTCTAGCTGCCTGTAATCGGAGGTGTTTTTTTCTATATCACACACATACATACACACACACTTGGACTTTTGGCCTGGCCTGTTCTACTTACACTGCAGCAGAACAGTATTTTCCAGGACACATATTATAAACAAAAAGTGAAACGCCTTCTCTCCAAGAGATTATTTCTGAAATTCACTACAAAATAACTGTTATTTGTCCTTTTACAGCTGATTTAAGGCAATCGGATTGTGCACAGGAGTATTACAGTTTTTTCACAGACAAATAAATGAAGCCTACCACAGCAAAAACTGAGCATTGTTTGATATGCACAAATGGGGACAATTCAGGCAACATTACATGTCATTCATTTCAATGGGAGGATAACGCGTTGCTTAAATCTCACCCATTTAATTCCACAGGGTTCAAAATACTGAATTTTGGCTCGATGACATCCACTTTGTGTCACCATCTAGTATAAATAATTTTTTTCAAAAAGCATAGAATCAGTTGTTAGAAATACCATCATGCTTTAAAGTGTAGAACTCAGCCTGTGATTACTACTAGTAGCACTGCCCATCCATGCCAGCCTTTTCCTTCATTGTAAACAGTCGTTCTGTGCATGGGCAGGTACAGAAATGTTCTATTGCGACCCAGCATTGCTGATGATTGAAGTGCTCCATTTGTAGGAACGTCCCCCACATGGACCATCACAAAAACCATGCCAAAAAAGTTGTGCCCCTAGGATTTTTTAATTGCTTTGGCAGCCTCAATAGTGCCAGCCACCCTAATAGTTATATTACACCCTCTGTTGTGAATGTATTAAATCTTCTGCAGCTGGAGACTTTTAAGCATGAAGAAAGAGCTCTGCTGGCTTCATAAACTCACACAACATCTCTGACTGTGGGGCTGCTAGTTCTGCATTAGAAGCAGAAGCGAGAGATTTGCGGAGAGGAGTTGGAGCCCACGTTGCCATTGCAAAGACTTAGTGGGTGGATGGGGAATGGTGGCTGCAAAATACATGAACACCATTGTTCTCAGAACCAGGAAAGGATTAGCTGCTGTAGTGGAAAGCTTTTCTTACGGTCCAGAAATGCTGGCACTTCTATCAACTCTGCCACTTTTAACCCAAAGGCCGAGAAACCCTATTCTGTCTTCTTCATCATGATGTTGTTTCTATAGCAGAAATACCGCTAAGGCTCCCTAGATACAGTTCAGCTACATCTTTCACCCACAACCATTGGCGGTGCTGGCTAGGCTTGCTGGGAGCTGGAGTTCAGCAACATCTGGGGACTCACGTGTTGCTCACTCCTGAGTTACACTGTGCCTGTGAAAGAAACATTATACACATTTTTAAAAAGGCCCTTACTATTGTCATTTGTAAAGGGCCCTTAAAAGTGTGCTGCACTTCTGCAGAAATATCCTGTCACCTTGATGTGGACATTAGCACTGGCAGCTTACCATTTCTCTTCCTTTCTCTTCCCCATCTAATTTGCAACTTTCTATGGGTAAGGAGGGCAAAGAGGGTGGCACTTGATTCTCTGTGTATAATCTTCAGCGGATGTGGAATTGGGCTGCTGCAATATCCAACCCAACAGAAATATGGCCTTTGGGGAGAGAGATCTGCCAGGCGATTTTTTTTTACAAAGCAGCTACCTTTGTTTTGGGAACCAGATCCAGTTCACGAGCTGCCAGTTCACTAGAAAGATCTATCATACATCAGAGCAAAAGTTGTGCCTATACATCATAAACGTGGGAGTATGTGTATGTATCAACCTACAGGAGCAGTGGAAATCCTGGGGAAGTGCTATAAATAGCCAGTCACAAAGCTGTAGAATTCTTGCAAACACCTATTGCCTTTCGAGACGAACCACAGTGCAACACTGTTACTATAAAATTTTGCTTGAAGGCTGATATATTTTCCTCTCTTGCCATGCTACTTAAAAAAATAAGGAAAGGGGAAAAAAAAAGAAAAGAAATAAGGAGGCATTCTGTTTTTGAAATAGGCAAACACCTGGAAGCTCGGATGACACATGTGTCTGACTCATTAATTACATTTATGAAGGAGCTTTCTAATGGGCTGCACAAAAGTCCCTCCTGTAATTCGTAGAGATGCTCAACAGTTTTATTGTAAGTCAGGGCCCATTATTCTGCCCAGCTGCTAGAGAACCACTGCTGAACGATTGTTTCTCCTATTAAGCAGTCAGCATAAACTCTCCTTGTTACAGCCTGGGACATCGCCTCCAGGGCAAGCGGACACAGAAGAGCAATTGCCGAATTGCGTATGAAAATTATAGTTTTATTGTCCGTACAAATGAAGGTTTGACTCTGACACCCGCTCCGCTCTGCTTTTGTGATAAAGAAGCAATTCTTTCACCAAACAAATAAGCACAGCACACCATTGTAATCCAAGAAACAGGCACTATTTATGTATTGGAAAGACAGGCTCACATTTGTACTGAAGAGTCTAAGGTCCCAGAAGCTGCTTTTTTAGTAGATTGGGGGGGAGGGGATGGAATGACTACTAAAACATTTGACAGAGCTGGAAAATGCTAGTGGCATCATTCTTGTTAATTTAACAGGCATGACTGATAAGTTGGGACCATGTATTTTATGTTTATATAAGCATCTTCACCACCATAGCGCTCAAAGGCTTCCAGTGTCTCCTGAATCAAGTCTCCAATATTTTCTCGCTTCTGCTGGCTGTAGTCGATGCCATCTCCAGAATTAACTGATTAAAAAAAAAGAAAAAAAATAGATTAGCAGGTCTATTGTATGTTATATAACCTTTTATCTGCTATGTATCAGAGGTAGTATATATTAACAGTACATTCATATGGTAACTTCCTCATTTTTTGGTAACACATTGTTGTATTCAACTAAAAATGCAGGAAGTGTTCCAAACCAAATATAGTTCTATCTTTTTGCAAGTTACTCAGAGAAAACCTCCCAGGCAAACTCCAAAGTTTCTTCCAGCCATATCACTGACAGAAGAACATGTTCTGCCAAACTAGCCTGTTGGTGTGGGTGGCAATGTGGATGTATTGAAGGAATACACAGGCTAATGAAAAGTTGAGGCACCTGAATACATCTTAATGCTGTACATTTAGCCTGCAATCCTAGGGCTCCATACATGGAAAGCAATGGAGCATTCTTTCCTACATAGGGCTGCCCAATATCTAAGTATCTATTTTTAGAGACATTGCTGTGAATCTGATACTTCATATTCATGCCAATTCATGTTTTGTTCTACATTCAACCTTGCTGGATAATGGGTTGATATTGAGGCAGGTAACTAGTTCTGAGAAAGGCCAAGCCTAGAAACAAAAGAAAGGAAGTAGGATATTCCACCATGTTAATTATATTGGTATAAATTGCCAGTGGATTGAGACTATTGCCAAAAAAAAAAGGGGTGGGGGTGGGGAGACTCACCCAGAAAGAAGATAAAAATTGGTGCTGATTTGCATAACATTTGTCTATGCTAATTTGAGTGCATAGATGCAAATTTAGAAATAACTGCTATACTGTCCATCTTTGCTGCTATCTCATGGTCCTTTAGTTTTGTAAACCAGATCTGGTTGCCATATCACAATGGAGTAAAGAAAACAGTGACCAAAGACTTGTGCCTCTGCTCTGTCTGCTAATTTTTCAGGATATTTCTTCCATTGCTTTTCCTAGTTTATTAACTCTTATCTTTAATTTGGATTTGGATAGGATAACCTTCAAATGCAGAAGAGGTCATTCTGCCCTCATTAACACTAGGCTCTTTCTGCTTTCTTAATGAAATGGATTGTATTAGAATGCTCTCTACGCTACCAGGGAGGTTCTGAATCAGGAATTCATTGGGTTCTAGATGGCTGAACAGACTGGTTTCAGTCTCAAGGTCTGAAGCTGCTTTCTAGCTTACATCTTCTGAGTGAAGTGCAGAGAGCTGGATACCTCACAGAAGATTCCGGTCCCTGCCAAACACCAGATCTATTTGTGTAGTGAGACTGAGCTCAAGATTGGAGAATTTGCAAAGAAGGTGCTGTGTTTGTTACAAACACTCGTATCGAAGAAAATACAATATAATCTTCATTTAACCCATTTTTTTCTGAAAAAAAGAAATGTGTTGAATTAAGTCAAAGTCAAGAATAAAAGTTATTTGAAGTTCTACGTGAGAACAGCATTTTCCATCTATTCTGCAGTGAGTCAGCTCAAGAACTTACTGGAAACACACATTTGCAGCAATATAACATTCAAGTAAAAACATTCTAGATACTGGTGCAAATATGAAACAAATATAAAATGTAGACAACAATCTTTTTCCTAATGACACATATGTATTTGAAAGTAGGTCTCAAAGATATAGAAAAGTGGTCATCGATCCCAATGAAATATAACTGGCTTCTAAATTAATATTCGGTACAGTTTCAATGGTGGTCAGTGGGACACCTCTGGAATAACTGGTTCATAAATCATAGCCATATAAGGGAGCATCCTACAACTTCTGAAGCAGAAGTATATTCAGAATCATACCAAAAATAATTTGGCAATAAGCACTGGATGATTTAGAGGTTTGGCAGTAAGATACTGACTCTTTCAATCCCTTATATCTTTGGCTCTAACCCTGTCTAGAGAGGTGACTGCTGGAAGGTTATTTCATGGCTCATGTGACATCAAGTGAGCTCACTTTTGTTAATAGCAGACAGGTGTCTAAACCATAAAACTCAACAGCTCTTCTAACACAATTCATCCATTCCAGTGGCAATATTAGAGAAGCTGACAAAACTAAGAAAGAAGCCACATAATCTTTTCTATCTGGGAGCTGCAGCTAAAACTTTTCTACTTCAGGTAACTGAAATTTAAAAAAAACAAAACAAAAACCCCTGGACTTTAAAAAAGGAAAATTGTAATTAAAGAAAACAGTGTTTTTGTTAGGTTTCAAACTGGCAGCCTTCTGTATCTAAGTGAAGATCTTAACCACTATGCTATTTTGGAAGGGGTGGGGGGTGGGGAAGGGAGGTACAGAACCTATTAGAGTGCAGGATAAGCTTTGACTGGGTTGAAGAGGCAACCCTGTCTCTGCAAAGTAGCTGATATATTGCTGAGATTAGCCTACAACTAACAGAAATGTTCTAGCTCTAGCTCAGATGGACAGAAGCACTCAAGACAACATAAAAAAGAGTATAATGTCAGAGGTGGAGCAGAGAAACACACAAGGTTGCTTTGAAGGTGACAGGGGATTGATAGAGGGTGGTGCCATCCATTTCTGCCCTCCAGAAATGATTGCCTGCCCATTCTGGCAATGAGGCGACTGGGCAGTGAGGATAGGTCCGGAGTCCCCCATGTAGGCTAGCCTTATGAGCTTCATATTGCTAGAACCATACAGAATCAGGCATTGCTATAAATATTTATTCTCCCAAAAACTCAACCCCACATTCATGAATTAACAGCAAAGCCTCAGTGATTTCATATTCCTAGAGATATTTCTTCATTGTAGACTAGAAAGAACTCACATATATGTAGAAGATCAGATGGGGTCAGAATATAGAAATCAAACCCTGTGTCTCTGCCACCCCAGGGTCCATATCTTATGCATTTTCATTCTCTCCTTTTGAGTTAACAGACTCTTAGCCACTCTTTTCCCAGCCTTGAGATTGGGGTGGACCTATCAGCATTTAACAATGCCCTTCTCTGGTTTTTGCTTCAACCTTTATATCCAGTAGAACTGTAGAACTGAAAGCCAAGGGGTGTACTGACCCTCAAGAATGGATCTAATTTCAGGGCTGTTACAAGCAAATAAGCTCTGGCTACAATTGGCCCTGGAGCCAGTCACTTCTGCTACATGAAATTATTACACAGTTTATATCTACAGTGGTACCTCGGGATACGAACTTAATCCGTTCCGTGACTCTGGGTGCAACTCGAGTTGGTCTCAAGTTGAGGTAAAGTTTCCCATAGGGTTCAGTGTAAATCCGGTTAATCCATTCCGCCCTCCAAATTTGGTCGCAACCCAAGGCGAATTTCCCCATAGGGTTCAATGTAAATCCGGTTAATCCGTTCCGCCCTCCGAATTTGGTCGCAACCCAAGGCGAATTTCCCCCTAGGGTTCAATGTAAATCCGGTTAATCCGTTCCGCCCTCCGAATTTGGTCGCAACCCAAG